TGTATGAAAAAGTTGTGAATGTAGTGCTGCTCAATTAAAAAATATTAAGTTTATAGATAATAGCTCAATAATTGTATATGATATTATCTATGAGGGAACTGTTTTACGAAACTATAAAAACTAAAAAAAAAAATGATATAAGTTTCAAAATATATTATTTGTATTTATGGGTAATAAATCACTACTCACAAAAATGATAAAATAATTTAATGTGGTTCACAAAAAGCCACATCCACGAAGAATGGAAGAGAAACACGTAACTTGATACCCCATTGGTACTCCAAAACTTGGTATTAAATTTCCAGAGATTAAGCAAAATAATATGATACTTAACAAAGTCTCAAAACTATATAATAACTACTTAAAAACCCTTTTGCTAGGGGTTAAATTGAAATCTGAACTCTTTTTTATTGGCTTAGTAAATTTACTCTAACAGATAGAGAAAGTCACTCTAACGCTTGACTCTCTTCCAGTCAACTCTAGTGCTACAATCTAGTCGACTCTTGCACTAGAGTAAATTTTTTTTTTTTTTTTTTTTTTTTTTTTTTTTTTAAGTTTTTGAAAAGAGCACTCTAGAAGTTTAAAATAGCATCCCTAACCTCTCCTCAGATTTCACAAAATTCTCTCAAACCTCTCTTCTCCACCTTTTGCTAACAGAATCCTTTAGGGGTTTGTATATTTTGAAAACATCGGGGGGTTAAAATAAGTATCGCAATCTTTATTGTTAGGCCATTCTTCAATTGAAAGTACTAATAACTAAATTAATACAGGAGGGTTAGGATAAAAGTCCTCTTCAACAATCTCATAGAAACTTGTTCATTCAAGATTAAGAAATTAGTTGATGATTTTAATAATATAATCCCGCATAAGATTAACAAATTATTCGTCCTTTTTTGCTGCATATTGTTAATATTTGGCTCAAAGATGTTAAAAAATGCTAAAATAATCACATGATGAATAAAAAATCTAAAACAATCTCAGCTTTTTGTCCTAACTTAATTCTTTTCGAAAACACAATATAATAAACATTTCAAAGTGGATAATAATAGGATTAACACTAGTACTAAAATTTATGTAAAGTATACCATAGTACTTTGTTTCTAATGCATAAGATATTTAGATCCCTGCATAATCTCAACTTTTTATATTGTTTAAGCGTCTAATTATTTCAGAAATTTATGTCCAATTTTAATTGTATTCACGAATTTGTATCTTTATTTTGATTCTCCCTAGGTATAAATATACTAATTTTTCCAAAGCACACACCAATGCAAGTAAACGAATGTCAAATCCATAAGGGTCAGTTTGGTTCGGGAAGGGTAATGTCACTCTTATATTACTTGATTACCACGTTTGGTTGTCAAGTAATATAAGATACCAGTAATCTTCAGATACCAATAGTGGTTATTATTGGTAATATAAGAGGTAATCTGATTACCTCCATTTTCTTAGGTTTTCTGAGATTACCAGGGTTATCTTTTTTTGTTACAATTTTATCCCTTATTAATAAAAATTTTGGACAATAATACCCCTACTTTAAAACAAATTTACATTAATATCCTATTTCAATTTTACCCTTGTTTAATTAAAATTTTGGACAATAATGTCCCTTATTAATAAAAATTTTGGACAATAATACCCCTACTTTAAAACAAATTTACATTAATATCCTATTTCAATTTTACCCTTGTTTAATTAAAATTTTGGACAATAATGCCCTTATATTTAAAATAATTTACAGACCACCACTGCCACCAAGCCACCACCACCACAGCCACCCAGCCACCACCGCCGACAGCGGGTCAACCACCACGGACCACCGCCGGAAAATTGCCGGAGTCCCTAAAAACACTGGAAATTCTGTGGGAGGCTCCGGGAGGCTTCGATATGGCCGTTTTTGGCCATATTGATGGCCGAAAACAGCCATATTGGGCCAGATCTGGCCGGAAATGGCCAGATCTATTTTGGCCATTTCCGGCCAGATCCCTCGATCTGGCCAAAAATGGCCAGAATAGATCTGGCCATTTCCGGCCAGATCTGGCCCGATATGGCCTTTTTCGGCCATCAATATGGCCAAAAACGGCCATATCGAAGCCTCCCGAAGCCTCCCACAGAATTTCCAGTGTTTTTAGGGGCTCCGGCGATTTTCCGGCGGTTGTTCGCGGTGGCGACAGGCGGCGGCAGGAGGTGGGGGTGATTTCGTCATGAATTAAAGTTTTTTTATAAGCGGGGGTGTTTTAGCTAAATTTGAAATATTGGGGGTTAAAAAACTATTCAAAAATTAATAATAAAAATAATATTATATTAATATTCAAAAGAGGGTCAATTTAGTAATTTAAATAACATACCCACCAATTTATTCCCATAACCAAACATATTAATATAACATACCCACCAACTAACCAAACATATTTTTTTAAAGATTCCCAGTAATCTTCCAAGGTAATCTATCTTTCCAGTAATCCAATATTCTCAGTAATCTAATATTCCTGAACCAAACGCCCCCTAAAGACCTTGTCATAAAAGCGTATGAACGTAAATAGATCAAGGTCTTTATGTAGGCCAGATTCACTTTAATTAAGAGACTGTTAACATTGACCTTAATTATTATCAAATTGTATATGGGAAGATTCAATGAAACAAACATCTTACGTTAAGACCTAATTTATTTAAACTTTTAGTTATTGTTGACAAATAAAGGTTTTGATCGATCCTTTTCTTATGGGCTGTCTTCTTTTCAACAAGATTGTTGTTATTTAGTTCAATTAAAAAAACATTACTCTTTAAGGGTGTTTGGTTGGCGATAATGTGAGATAATAGGGGTTATGTCATCTTATATTATTTGATTACCATGTTTGGTTGTCAAGTAATATAAGATTTCAATAATCTTCAAATATCAATAGTATTTACTATTGGTAATATTGGAGGTAATCTGATTACCTCCATTTTCTTAGATATTCTAAGATTACTAGGGTTATCTTTTTTTGTTACAATTTTATCCCTTATTAATAAAATTTTTGGACAATAATGCCCTCATTTTAAAATAAATTTACATTAATATCCTATTTCAATTTTACCCTTGTTTAATTAAAATTTTGGATAATAATGTCCTTATATTTAAGACAATTTACAGACCACCACTGCCACCCAGCCACCACCACTACCACCCAGCCACCATCGCCGATAGCGAGCCAACCACTACAGATAGTCGCCGAAAATTCGCCAGAGTCCCTAAAAAAGAACGAGATTCGGTGGGAGGCTCCAAGAGGCTTCTCTATGGCCGTTTTCGGCAATCAATATGGCCAGAAACGACCATATCAGAGCCACTTTGGTCACGACAAGCTACTGACAGGGACTTTCAGAGACTTCCGATGGTGGTTTTGCGATGGCGACAGGAGGTGGGGGTGATTTCATAATAAATTAAAGTTTTATATAAGTGGGGGTGTTTTAACTAAATATGAAATATTGGGGGTTAAAAGAAATTATTAAAAAATTAATAATAAAAATAATATCATATTAATATTTAAAAGGGGGACAATTTAGTAATTTAAATAATATACCCACCAATTTATTCCCTATAACCAAACATATTAATATAACATACCCACCAACTAACCAAACACATTTTTCTAAAGATTCCCAGTAATCTTCCAAGGTAATCTATCTTTCTAGTAATCTAATATTCCCAATAATTTAACATTTCTGAACCAAACGCCTCCTTTCAACAACTTTAGTAAGTGTTTGGGCTGATTCCTTCAAACAATTGAGTTTATTTTATAAGTCGAATTCGTGGGCTTGCTCATACAAAGCATGTGGAATTTTCAACAAATTCTTTAGCCAATTTTCTTAAGCAAATGGCAGCTACACGCCTACACCTTCCACATCAAATGATTCAAGTAAGTGGACTAACCTCTTTTTTTTTTTTTTTTTTTTTCAGTGACTTATTATTAAATTTATTGGAAAGTGATTTTTTAGCACCCAACAAATAACCCCCACTTTTATTATTATTTTTTTTCTTGACAAGGTTAACTAATGATATAATATTTTAAATACACTCATTCTCTATTTTATTTATTGTTTTAATTTTTAACTTTAATCTTAGATAAACCAATCTAAATTTTCAAATCATTAAAAAAATTTTTTTATTTAAAATTTTTTTGTTTGATGAAATATATTACTAATATGTATGGAGGAATAATCATACAACAGGGTGAATATGATTTTAAAGAAGAAAGAAGTAAGTTCAAATTTGAAATTTGGAAAAAAAAGGGGTTAAACAAAAAAACCTAATTAAGAAATTTGGGAAAATGATGTAAACAAAAACTCTAATTAGGTTTGAAATTGGGGGGGGGGGGCAAATAAAAAACCTAATAAACCTAATGAGCAGGGTTTTTGATATAAATAAGATTGAAAGAGAATTTAAAAAAAAAAAAAACGGTTAATTTAGTAATGGAAGATAGTGATCAATTTGATAGGAGCTAAAAATCACATCCCTCTTTTATTAAGGCATATAAAACACAATTTAATTTTTAATTGATTTGCTAGATTACAACATGATGCCTCGAAATATTTTTTTTCCTTTTTGATTGACAAATCACTCATTTATGTTTATTGAGTAATTATTAAATTGAATTTTTATAAACCTTAATCCACTCATTTTGTGAGTCAGTTTGTGTAGAGAGTTCGTACATTTGATTTTATTTTAAAATTAAAAATTTTGTGAAAAATTAGCCGTAAAAACATATAATTAATCTCTAACCAAAGAATGTTTTTTTATGTTATCATTATTTACTTTATTGCAAAATCTCATATTAATCATATGAAAATGATTAAAAACACATTTTCGATACTATTCTCAAAATAGGATAATTAACAGATTTTCAAAATTAAACTTGTTATTTTCATTATTAAAAGCAAAATATATACAAATATTAAAGGATTATTTTGAGTCCCAAGCTTGTATATGGGGTTAATAAAACTAACCCACTAAAAATTTGTTTAATCAAAAGGGCTTTGCAAGAGAGATCATGTTTTAAACTTTGAAGTAAAAAAATAAGCTTTGAAACAAAGGCCTTTTACACATAATCAAAGATATACCAATATCACCCAACAAGGGGAACATTGACCTCTAAAAGAATTAAAACTAAAATTAAAGTACAGGAATATAAAAGGTAGTAGTAATTTCAAACTCTTTGAAATTTCAAAATAGAGCAGTACAAGATAAATACCACTCAAACAGAGTGACTTCCTACATCATTAGCTATCATTGAGGGGAGAAAGAGCTTGGTGCAGCAGCTCTTTGCTCTGATAATGGAGGGCAAGGCAAAACATCCCGACTCGCTGGCAGGCTTGTATTAATGGAGCCCTCAGGCGGCACCGGAGAGGGTGGAAACAGAGGTGTAGCAGGGGCAGCATGTGTATTTGATACAACCTTAATGGGGTAAACTTCAGTGACTTCTTCAGTGCCCTCATCCAAGTATACAACATCCTGCATGGTAAGCTGGTGATACTCGACAACCTCCCTCAGGAAGCGATTCTCACGCGCATAGACTGAGTTCTCATGTGCCAATCGAGCCTTCTCAGCCAAAAGTGTTTCAAGTTGAAGCCGTATCTGACATGAAAATGTTGGCATCAGAATATGTGAATTCGGTTGATGTCTAGTTTTAATTCAAACTTCATTTTCCATTCCGTTTGACATGAAAAACTGGTGACTCTTCAATCTTAACTAGCTCAGAAAATTTGCGGCAGATTATTGAAAGGCTGCCTAAAAATTGCATGATACAATGTGAAGTAGTTCGTTGAATTACACAGCCCAGATATGGTTAAATCATGAAATGGACGCTGTTCCTGCAACTACTGACGACAGAACAGAAAGTTTAACTGTATCTATACATGGCTCTTGCAAATAGGACTCAGTGCAAACTTGGGTTCACAAATTGGATTCTTGTCTCTCGAAGTCCTTTGAATTATCCAACAAGTGTAAGGTATAAGGAGGTCTACTTTAGATTTGGCTTCCATCCTCTAGAAATTTTATCATGCAAGTGGAACGAGTTTTTTGAAATAAAATTTAAACAGAAATTTCAAACCCCCAAGCTAGAAAAGAAAAAAGAATTTTTTTAATTTCTATCTTTGATGGTACTAAAAAGGTATGCCACCAATAGTGTTTCCGGCTTGTATTGTTAGCTGTAATTCATTAATATGTCATTGCCTCTCACCCACATTCACTACAAATTACAGATATGCAGAACAGTGTATACTAATATATGGGCTTGTAATGCATTTTTTCAACAGAACCTTTGGTTTCAATTTTTCAGTTGTCGAAGAAAAGATAATAATGAAGCAGATCATTACCCAGATTATCTCAACAAGAAAAGATGAAATATATAAAGTAGAGAATCAGGGAATAAGAGTACCAAATCATCATCTTCTGAACTCTCTCCCCTTTCACGACTCTCCCGAAGAATTTTATTTTGTTCCTCCAGCTGAGCACATCGCTCTTTAGCAAAAGCCAGATCTGCTTTGACAGTTTTCAACTCCCGAAGAAGAAGCTTTGCCTTGGCAGCCATTGCCATAGCAACCTGTAACACAAAAAAGTAGGCAATCATGGATCTCACTTTGGAGGATGATTTATTAAAATAGGATTCACTTGAATATTAAATGGAGTTCTGCAACTCGCACATCAAAAAAGAAAAACAGTATTTTTTATTCTCTAGTTCCTACTCTCATGTATGTGCTGCCTAAGCATGAATTTATATACAGCTAATAATGAAAAATCTAGTAGTGATATGCAAGGCTCAAGGTTGGAAAGATACTGTCTCAAAAGACATTGATCTCCATATATAGGCTGTTTTTATGCCCATGTTCTGTCCTAATTAGTCAAGAAGAAAGAGTAAAGCAGGACTCTGGAAGCAATCGATATTTCAAAGAAGCGGTTCAACCAAAAATGCTGAGGATATGCAAAAACAAAAATGGAATATAAATCCTAACTAAAAGAAGCCAGAGCTTGATAAGATATCCATTTAAAACCAATGCATAAACTCAATAGGAATGCGGTTTCAAATGTTATAAGTCATTCAAGACATTTTGCTCATAGCATGCACTGAAAACAATCATGCAAAGGGACACACCATCATACACAAGAATACAGTGCCAAGTGCAACTTGAAACTTGTGTATATGAAACAACCAATGTTATATTCCATAACATCTAATAACAGTACTATGCACTGCAGGTTGGGGCAGCCCAAACATGCAATCTACTTCTAACACATGAACCAGTGACAAACAGTTGCCACCTTACGTCGCGAGATGCCTTCAATTGAAGTTCTTGATCAGTTGGCATCATAGTTTGGGCTTGGGTCTGTACATGCGGTTGTTTAGTTGCCTGTTTCTGCGCCATATAATTGCCAGGCTTTTTCTTAATATGCTTACGAGTTTCTTGAATGATGCCGGCAGTTCGGTTCTCCACAATTGAAATGCCCTCCTGAAAAAAGTGGAGCAGCAGAGGTTTGAATTAAAGAAAAACATTACATCAGCAGATTCACAAACAGTTTGCAAAAACAGTAGAAATATCATAAATTACGAACATGAATCCTTAAGTATGCCCTAGCAAAGTAGCTTCAATCAATGATCCCAATATGTCTATTAAGATTAAATATATAGGAAAAACTAAAAAGTAAACAAATGAATACTCAAAGGTACAAATGGAAGAAAAAATATCTATAAAAGCTCACCTCAACAGCATTTCCAATATAATTTAAAGAAGAAGTAAGTGCATCAAGTCCCTTCTGTAATCCAGGAGACTCCGGTTTTCTATGCGTCTCTGCTGAGTAATATGCTTTGTGGTACTGCCAGAAGGTAAACTTAAATGAATAATGCTATATATACAAAGTTGAAATCCTAAATTGATATCCCAACTGAAGTAGCTACTAATTTGGCAAGTAATACCACGTATCACATAGTATAGTGTTGTCATATCAACAACCACATTAATTGGGCTACAAAGTATTAATATCATTGACACACAAATATAATGATTATGAACAAATGCAGAAAAAGAGTACTACTATATACTCCAAATAGTATCTCAAAATTTCATTCCAACTGATAGCACTATCGTGTCATGACACATTGCCTTTTCTATACATTCTACACCTAATGTAGTTCTGCCACACAAGTTGCTACGTAAATTCAAATTCGACGTTAACGATTACGAACACCACACATCTCGAATAGTATCTCAAAAAATTTCAATTCTAACTTATGTGTGTTCTTAATGCTACATTATTTGGGATGGGAAATTTCGGATACTAAATAACTTCCTAAAAACATAACCTTGTAGAAATGAAACTTTAAATATAGACCTTGGGAGTTGTCTCAGTGGCAGGCAAGTCCTGCGGCGGTTGATCATCCAAGATTGCTTTAGCTTTTCTTGCGAGATTGCCCCAAAACCCAGGTTTGGATTCGTTTAAATTCTTCATTGATGTGTAGTTATAAGAGCCGGGATCCTAAATTAACAAAGAACATAACAACCCACATAAATTATTACTGTTAAAGAATAAAAAATAATAAAAAAAATGTTAAAAAATTAAAGAATACCTTTGATTGAGATGGAAAAGAAGAGGGGCTAGGTTTAGAAAGAGGAGAAGAGTAAGCAGAGGAAAGAGAAGAATCCCTATTAGCAGAAGAAGCTCTGATGGCTTTTGCAGCTAAAAAATTGGAACTTGAGCTGCTGTCAACATCATCTTCATCGGATAAGCCTTGTTCTTGTCTTCTTCTAAAAGCCATTTTTGTTCAGATTTCATCAAAATTAACAAACTTTTTTCTACTTGAGTTTGTTGATTGATTGGTGTTTCTCAAAACGCCTTCCTTTTTTGTCAACGCGTTTCCCCTCTTGCTTCGCTGCTGCTTATGCTGAATCTTCCACTCATTGTACAATTGGATAATTACCATTAACCCGCCTTAGTTAGGTCAAAGAACTAAACCACACTAACATTTGAAAAATTTAGAAATTTACCCTGATGGTATTGTATATGATAGATAAACGGAAAAGTTTTGAATAATATATGATGGTATTGTATATCATGTAATTTGTAAGACCATTAGATAACATCCAAGCATTTTTATATCTAATTTTACACCCAAATATTACTATAAAGTTTTAATTTTCAAATAAATATATAGAAAATGAAATGCATTCGCGGTTATTCAAAAATATTATATACCCTTGTTATCATTAAATACCCCATTAAAAAATATCAAAAACCCTCTAAAAAAAATTTTCGCTCTATGATTTTTCAAAACCTCACTAGATTTTGTTCTTTAATAGATTTTTTTTTTTTTTTTTCAACAGCCTCTGTTTTATATATACCCTATTTAATTTATAAATTTCCTTTTTAGATTCTCATTTAATTTTAAAAACACCCCATTAGTAGCATAACAATACGTTTTGTTTTCTATTGGTGAATTATTTATACTTGGTCTCTTTTAATTTTTGTTTATTCAAATAAATTCAATTGTAATGTTTAGGGTTTTGGTTAACCAGTTTTTTAAAATGATTAAACCGATAACCGAACCAAAAATTTGGTTCAAATAATTTTTCAAATCGAAATTGAATCAGTTTTCAAAAACTGGTTTTTTCGATTTTTTTGTTTTTTTTGCAGACCCCTATGTGTTGGTGTTGTCAGGGGCGACCGATGACGTTGAAATCAGGTTGGATTGGCCTAAGACGATAGTCACTATAGGGTATATTTGTAATTTGATCAACATTTGTGGGTGTATTTAATTTTTATAAAGTATATTTGTCATTTTTGTAAATAGTAGGGGGTATCATAATTTTTTTGGGTACCTAGAACCAAAATCAAACCTTGGATTTTAGGTTCCACTACCAGACATTTAGGACATCTAGGAACTGGAACCAACCAATTCCGATTCCATGGGATTTTGGCGGGTACTCGTAAGTGCCCACCCTTGGTCACTGTTTGGCATTTGCAAGGATTATTTTTATTTTGGCTTTTTTTAGTTATAGTTTTTTCCCTCTCTTCGTTTAATTTTTAATTTAAATATTTAAAATTATGTTTTCGGAATAATGATAATGAGGGACAAATAATACAAGTGAAAACAATGAAATGAAATTTTTATTTATCTAAAAAAAATTAAGGGTATTTATACAACTTACAAGGTTTAAGAATAAAAAATAATTTAAACCAATTAATTAAAAAAAAGTCTTTACCTTCACAATGCTATTCATCTAGCTAATAGCTATTCTCAACTTGAACTTAACACTTATTCTCCATTTGACGCCGGGGATTATTTATTTCGACGCATGAATACACTTCCCCGACTTCGTGGTTGCATCAGGGCAGTCCTTAGTTCTTATAGTGTATTGTAATGAAGAGTTCTATTGGGAACATACAATGTCTATGAGATTGATTCCTTAAAGCACATAAACATGTTAGTTCTCCAAGTGACTTGGAAGGGTCTAATGTAATTGCATTGCATAAATTTAAGGATGGTTATTAATATCTGTATACACAGATCTTTGTGGCGAACATTTACATGTAGTACAGATTTGTGTTAATGTAGAAAAGCTTATTTCACCTAAATAAAGTTGCTTGTTTGATACAGATTTGTTTGGACTCGGCCAAGTAGTGTCAGGAACTTTCCCCTTGTGGAAGGCAACTATGCTTTAAGTACAATTGTTAAATAAATGCTTTAGGTTAGAATTGCATCACAATTGCTAAACAATGGTTAAATAAATGCTTCAGGTTACAAGTTAATATGCTTCTTATGAGCCTGGTGCGAATGAATTAGAACGTAGATACCATTTCATAATTCAACCCATCACCAAAACATTTCTACAAATTACAAGAATACCGACCTATATCAAAATGTAGGTGAAAATAAGGTCAAACAACTCTGCACTTTCATATAGATTTAACTTAATGATATTTCATGTCTAATGCATAGTTTCAAAGAATATAACATTTGTGTCATAAGTATATAATTACAAAATGATGTGTACATAACCCTTAAAAAAAAATACATTAACATCATACAGTTAGATAAAGCTTCATCATCCCAAAAATGAGGTCGATTGACACATGAAGTCGGTAAGTCAGCCATTAAGTTTCTTCAATTCTTTTACAGCATGATTTAATGCATAAATACACATTTTCTTCACCTATTTTAACGTAATACAGAAAATACATTAGGGATCATTGAGATAAAGATAGATACAATTTTCATAACCCAATTTTTAAAAGTGCAAATAGATTTATATACATAGTTTATTAACCTTAATTTGATATTGTAAACCTTTACAAATTCTGCATGCTAAATAAAAAAACACAAGAAAGGTATGTACTAATACGTACCTCAAGTTTGTCCTTCTTACTCTTATGCTTCCTTGGAAGAGTGCGAAACTCTTCAGTGAGACGGATGCATTCTTCAATATTTTCAGGAGAAACAAAGTCAAGTGCAACTTTTATACAAGACTACAAACAACACGAAGGAAATGATTAGTAAAAATCTACTTATCATATGAATGCAAGCAACAAAACTTACCAAATCGACTGCAAAGGTCAAATTGAATGTTAAGTAAAACTTTCAATTAAAATGTTTTTCTCCTAAAGTCTTCCAATTACATTTAAACAATAAATACTCTTCCCAGTTACATTTATAACAAAAGCTTCACCAAATAAAAGAATCAAAATAAACATAAATATTAGATCAATCATCCTTCCATCTGCCATGGGTGTAATTTGTATAACGATACTAACCAAATAAGTTAAACTTCAAATATGTAACCAAACACCGTCAACATGGATTGAAAATTTGAAACAATGCACTTCGTTAAGGTAGAGACCATCGGCGTTGGTGTAATTTATAAGAATCTCATAGGCCCATAGCTCATATAAGAATCTTCAACTCCAGATGAAATTAATTATCATTGAAGACATCAACTTCAAATCAAAGAGAGAAAAATGTAATTACATGATGTAACTACCACATCAATAAGATACAAAACTACGGCGGCATTACTCTACCTGAAAACACAACCTACCATCTAATTACAATTACACTAAGTAGTTGGCAAACACAATCCAAACAAACTATTTAGTATGAACTCAAGCATTCATTTTTTTATTTAAAACTTGACAAATGAAGAAAGAAAAATTGTGACTCAAAGGAAGCAACCCAGCATCAAGGATTTACGTACCTTAAGATTTCTCACTTGATGGGGACATCCAGCTGGGATAAGGACTGCCTCTCCAAGTTTCTGAACAAAACTCCAAGGCTCTACACCTGCATAAAAACTTCTTACTGTGTCACAAAGAAAAACAAGTCAAAGTAACTAACATCAACTTAATAAAAAAAAAAAAAAACCAACCAAATTCCTCTTTGAGCTTTCTCTTATGATGCATCGTTAAGTAGAAAGTTTGATCATGAATCGGGTGCACAACCTATAACATTAGGCAAGTGAAGTATTAGCATCCTTAACAACCAATAAATATGATAAAAGATTTTCTTAACATTAAGTTTAGCATTGATAGTAATTGAGCAAAAGAATCAGATAACTTCTATTAATAGAAGTGTTCATGCCCCATCTTAGCAACAATAATACTTTATTTGTATAATTATATATAGAAAGCATCCTAATATAATTTACATACAAATAACTATTCTAGTTTAAATATCCAACTTAGATCATATGGAACCAAAGGAGGCTTACGAAAGTAATGCAATCTACTTTAATAAAGTAAATTGATATTTTTCAAACATTCAAATACAACATATAAGCAAATAAAATTATCCTTATATAATATAACTTAGACTAGTTGTTACTTCCTCTACAAAGCATTGCTCCATTATTAAACTATTTTACTGATAAAAAATGGAACTTCAGATAATTCATGTTTGGAATGAACTTGACTTCAAATGTTTCAAAAAAGAAAAAAAAAATTGAGCAATTTGATCTGTCATTTATAAAAATGTAAAATGTAGAGTAGCTGAAAAAAGAATCACCAAAATTTATACCTGATCTACTGGAGAGCAATAAACATCCCTAAATTCCTTGTGATGAAGCCTAAGATATTTGTCAAGTTTGGGAACATCTTCCCGCCGAAAAATATCCCAAAGAGCACTACCGTCTGATGCATCCATTGATAAAGGGTCATACAACTCTAACCTTAACTTTTCTTCAGATTTTGAGGGACACTCCTCATATATTTGTTGTCTTCCATGCTCAAGTTCTAAAAACTCTTTTTGGTTTTGAGCATCATGCATCTTCTTCAAATTTTCTATTTTAGTAAGCTGTTCAGAACTAGGGGTCACATCCGCTGTATGCATCAAAATATTCACCTGATTTATGACAAACCATAGTTTAATCAATCAAAATAGTTTAATCAATCAAAACTTTCTAAAGCCCCGGGGTTACCTTTTCTCCCGGTAATTTGTTATTGCATAATAAACAAGTCACCAACCAGGTCTACAAAAATTGATGTATTAACTGATGTACAGAACATGCATCACACAAGTGATAACTATCAAGAAATCAAATAGTGAATTACCTTTATGATACTCTTATTTACTTCGATCACTATATGTTAACTGTAACTGAATAATTACACATATGACCATATTGCAATTCAGTAAGCATCATTAATCTAAATTATTTGTTTGCTCCATCTGCAACCAATATGGCATGATCTAGCTAAACAACTTTTAACGTTTTTTTACATGACCTCAAAATTGTTTTATAATTAAAATGCATCTAATTATGATTTTAAAGAAATTTCTTAATCACCTTCGAAAACAAATAAAGTTTTTTCTAAAAACTACCTCTAAAACACAAACTCAATAATTGAAGATTCAACTTATTTTGGTGTTTGAAAGTTTCATTAGGAAAATTTACTCAATCACCTATATAGAAAGCATTTTCACATTTGGTCAATCGATCAATAGAATTCATTAAAAAAAAAAAAAAATAAAAAAAAAACCTACTCAATATCAAAATGGAACAACATAATCATTGGCTTTCTCATTCAATTCTTAGTTTAACTCACCTCCAAGATAAAAATGTATATTATATTTTTTTTTATTGATGTAACTATTTCATATTCAAGTGGCTAGGCTAAAGTAGAGAAATACATTCAATAGTGTATATTGCCTTTCTTAGACAAAATCACAGTTCTAAGCTAAAAGATAAATTAGAGTTTTTTGGATAAATAGAATCATCAAAGTTTCACTTGCATACCGCATCTGTAATGTCACAATGAAGCTTGCTCACAGAGTCTCCACGTCCAAGCTCTTCACGAAATCCGTATGCTATATAAGATTTTGGCCCTAAATCTAGTTTCAACATATCTGAAGGTAGATTTGTTGCAATATTGAGAATGCCCAAATAAGGATGTGTATATTCAACATATGGCAAGGCCCTTAAAAATTCTGCACTGTGGCGTGGTAAAGACTTCTCAAAATGGTTAGATGGTGGCCAATCTTTGAGTTTGAGGATTTGTGGCCAAGAGTTTAAGTGAGCACGACCCTCCAAGTAACCTTTGAAAAATTGGTGAATATTTATTTCTACCTGCATGAGTATCAATCTTCAACATCATTCAAAAACCAAATTACAAATATCACATAAAACTGTGAAAAAAAAAGTGTTTCTCATTATCCTTTTCTTCTTCTTTTCTATGTTTAAATATAACTATTATACATAAGAGATATTGAGTTTTAATGATGATGATATATAAAGCAATATAAACAAGAAAGCACAAGGCTATAGATGATAAAAGGAAAAGAATTAAACTATTTCGATTAGTTCACATATTATGATGCATAATTAGCAAAAGTTTCAATGCTAATAAACTTCATAGAAGTCTGCCAATCACCCGCGTTTAATATGGTTTTTGGTTAAACCATATATATAGCATTAAAAATTACATTAATTAAATAAAAAGACATTTGAAGTTACTTATAATAATTTGATATTCAACTATTTTGAGATTTTTCATATACAAATGTACTTGTTAATGCGTGCAAGAGAGTATTTTTACAGATACAATTTCCAAAGCCAAGAAGCGCAATTGTATCATCTTTTAGATAGTCAATAAATCTATATTTCCATATACTGTAGCATTATGTCCATCATCAGATGTTTTCATTGCACAACATACTAGTCAACCCAATTAACAATTGGGTAAAACAATATTGTGTCAACAATTAACAAATTAAGAAACATCATATATCATTAATGGTAATTATCATGATAATGACCTAATGGAACATACCTTACACCCGTCAAGACAATCAATGGCTTTAAGTACCTTATTTGAGGAGCCTTTAGCATGTAATATAACACAAAATATACGTGACATTACCATTGGCTCCCAACTCAAGCCAGAAGTCAATTCCAAAGAATTTGTAACAATAATTGGCTCTCCTCTAACCCAATGGTACTTAAAATGCTCTAATCCTTGTTGTTGGATATCATCAACTGAAGGGCAGTACAAAAAATTAGCAACAGAACCTTCCCGAGAAGCTGCTTTCCTTAATTTCTTGTTACATGAATCAATCTCACCACCCAAAGTCGAGCCTAAACTACTATTCTTAGAACTTTGTAGTTCATCTGTCAGTTTATGAATTTTCATCAATTTTTTAACTTTTTTCTTCAACTTTGAGAGCCATCTATTTGAAAATAAACATTTCAACTCCAGTCGCTCATATCCACAACCACCCAACTTTTCCAGCGGACAAGGGATGTCACCATTTTCATTTACTTTCCATTCAGCTATAAGTCTCTTACGTTTCCTTGAGATAAGCCTAGTTTGGTCATTAGAAGGCTTTTTCTTAACTAAAGGGAGCAAAACAGGTTCCCCTCCATGTAAATAATCTTTCCCCCGGTTGACATGCTTCGTGCTCATTTTATGTCCGCCTTGCAAATAACCATTGCGAATTTCTTGGCAACAAGAAAGACATAAATCATATGAGCATTTCGGGCAGCTCCTGTGGTAGTCAGCTATGGAGGTTTTGCAATTGTTGCTGCAAACAAAACGAAAAATAAAATAAAAGTAAATAAGAAAATTGTGCAATCGATTGTTTACAAGTTCTTCTAAAATAAGGAAATTGATCTTACCAATATAAACGCTCATCATTCTTACACATAGCTTGTTGTATTTTTATCTCTGACAGTTCTAACCCTGTCCACAAAAGCATATGAAATAAAGCAGTTTAAAGATAAGATGCAAATGAAGTGCACACTATAAACGCAACGCTATGAATTGATACCTCTATTTTTGGCCTCTACCTCTTTTTCTGTCATTTGCTCACGGTAAAACTTTTTGAAGAATGGATATAGTAGATGCACTAAATACATCAAATGTTGAGACTTTTCCTTCTCATTGGTTGGCATATAAATATTTCCGGTACCCTACAATGAATCACAAAGATAACTAATTAAGACTCAAATGACAATGTCATATTAGTTATGAAATGTTTTGACTTAAACTAATCTTAACTGTTCTAGTCCTACGCAAACATGCAGTACAATTGCAGTTTTCACGACAAAATGGGCAAGCATCTTCCATATCGTTCTCTGACATTTTTGGGTACCTATATTCAGTAGACAAAGCATTAATTGCAGTAATATCATTCATCCAAAGAAAGTCAAGAAAGCAAGTAATTCAACAATGAGACTTAAAATTTCAAGAAAAGCTTCAAGCAAAAAAATTGAAATGAATCAAAATTTAGTAAAAAGAAATTATTCCACAGTCCAAATGATTTTGAGCTATTATTTCTATAAAGGAGGCCCCAGTTTAGTAACTAGTGATTGAAACTAGGAATATTTCTTTGGAATGTTCATTACTCCATTAGCAAAAGAGGTTACAAAATTCTGATTACTCTCCCACATTTCTACAAGGATACACTACAATTAAATAGACAAGAGATATACAAGAAAACTAACCAAATAACCTTTGAACTTTTCAATTCTCATTTCTGGCAATTTATAATTAACATAATGACACCAAGTCCATATTGCAATTTGCGCTACTAGAGCAACTTAAAGATTTTCTATTGGGTCTGATCAATTTTGAATAAAATTGTCAATTTTACTTCATTATTAACACTATATATACTTGATGACACTTATAATGAAACTACTATAAATACCACGCTCATGCTGTGATAACTACTCAATGATAATTATTAAAAACACTTAATGACTCACAGAAGTTATATTCGCTGTATTATTATTTATCAAATCTCAACTAATTTTTGTTTTATTTTTCTTTCGTATATATTGTAAAAATGATACAAATTTAAATTACATTTTATTGTTATTATTTCTTTTAAAACACAAGGCTATTATAGGGTAGTCGAATAAAATTACTACACTTATTAAAAATATTACATATACTATAAATAAATTTGAAATAAAATGGAAACCCAGAAAGCTTTATCTAAAATAATTATGTTTTAATATTGTTCTATATGTTAATAAAGCAAATGTAAAAAAGGAAAACAAAAACTAGGAAAGTTGTGCGTTATTGTACACAATTTCTTTTCCTAAAACGAAGTAAAGAAAATTACAGCTTTTGTGTCTTCAAAAAAAGTATTTTGTAACAAAAGATAAAATTGAATCCATTCAACATTCACAAGAATTGCTTATATGGTGTAAAGATTTAAAAGATGAATACATACCATTTTGAAATGCAAGTGACACAATAACGTTTTCCTTGGCATTTTTGGCATTCCACCACCCTCTTAGAAATTTGGTGGCATTGATGGCACCTATTTGACTTCACCTTTGCTTGTTTATATTGCTCGTCTGTTCTCCGTAGCTTGCTTCTTGTCCTCCTTCCAATTGACTCAATTTCAACATCATTGTTCTCTTTGCATTCAAACTTTTCCTCTACATTCACTTGCATTTCAGCTTCAACATTGCTGGTACCCTATAATCAATCACAAGGATAAAAAATAAAAATAAAATAAAAAAATCACATGCATTAGCATAGCAATGATTAATTTGACTTTAAAAAAATCAAAATTAACTGTTTCGCCATTGTTGTTGATCTCTTCATGATCTGATTTTTCTTGGCATGCCAAATTGCCCCCTTGATTCACTTGCATTTCAAGTTCAACACTGCTGGTACCCTAGAATGAATCACAACATGGATATTTAAACAAAAGTAAAATGATAGAGGCAAAGTAGCAGCAATAAATTTGACTTACGTTGAGGAAGTGAGACTGACAGAGGGGCTTCTCATGTAGTCTCCATCCATGGCAACGCAATCCTTTGCCGTCGCGTCTATGGCAGCGAAGCTCATCCGGTGGCACTGGAACCGACTCAGTCTTATCCATTCTCACTCACTCTAGAAACAAATAAGAATAAACAAAGAGAAAATAAAGAAAGAGGTTAATTATGGAGTCCGTGTCAACATGAAAGCCTCCAAATTTACCGTTTCAAAATATTGAAATAATGTAAAAACAGCCTTTTTACTAATTGATAAGCAAAATCATATTTCAACTTATTTGCTATAATTAAATCAGATTATGCAAAGAGTGTTAGTTTGTCGCTGAGAAAAGAATACATATTAGCTAGCGGATGCATAACAGCATACACATGCATGAAAAAAAATCACAGCCACCCCAGTATTTCAGTCGTTGAGTAACTGATACAATTTGCTTTAAATGGCATTATTGACTTTGTTTATAATTTCTTTTTCCTTAAATACAAATATCACGAGATGGAAATTAATGCTACACAGTAAAATTAAATTAATTAATGGATAATTACATTTTCACCCTTAAGGTTTGCCTCAACAACTTTTCTAACCAAGTTCTGGAAACTAACGTTTTCGCCCCCACTGTTTATTGCTTTATGATCAAAACTTTAATAAATTAATCATATAAATAAAGTATATTTTCTGACTAAAAATATTTATTTTACTATTAATTTTAATTATTCAAAATATTATACAATGTATTATAAGATTATGATAAAAAATATAAATTAATATCAATTTGAAATATAAAATATACAAAATTAAATTCATTCCACACAAAGAAAAATCCAAATATAAAGCCAAACAGTAAGGGTTATCTAATTCTTCTTTTATTTTTCATTTTCCAGTCTCAAATAAAAATTAAATCAGACGTAACCAGTGACACATCCATTCAATAACTATTAATACAACTTTATACCTATTTTCACACAAGATTGAGCAACATTATCTACTTCAAACAAATAAGAACAAAAATCAAAAATCAAAAGTTAGCCCACGATTTATACCGTTAATAGTCGTCGTCGTTACCCCACGATTCTCTCCCTCACACGTCGTCTATCGTCTCCGTTTAGGAGTTGTTGCCGTTCAGTGAAACTCACTCCGCCACTGCCGTCGGTTTTAACTCGTCTTCCACTGTCGCCGGTGCTATCTTCTTCTTACGTAAGAGACAACCAAAGCAAATTCAACTACACTCCCCGAAAGAGACAACATAAAGAGAAAAAATAGCTTTATCCATCTACACCGGAAAAGCGCTAAGCCGTAAGTCACTTCACTCTCTTCTCTTTCAATGGCAGCAGCTAGTTCACAAACTCCTTCAGAGACAAACAGCAGCTAGTTTACAAACTCAAATTATAATTCCATGGCATCCCAAAAGAGGTCATACGACAATAAAGAAGAAGGCGAAAAAGCTTCTGATTCTCTGAACTAACAAGAGTGAAGAAACAGAAAATAAAGAAGAAGAAGAAGAAGAGGCGTACAGAGAAGAAGACGAAGAATGAAGAAAGAGAAACAATAATTATTTCATTTGCTTTGGAAAATAAAATTTGATTTAAAAAAGATAATCCAAATCCCAAAGCAACTACATTGGAGCATGGGCCATCATCAAATCCTCGTACGATGACGGTAATTTTGAATGTTTCAGTTTAAGTATATTTATGTTGATTTATTTGACATTGAAATTATGATTTATTTTTGGTTAATTTATATAAATAATTATTGATCAAATTAAAAATAGTATATATTATTTCGGAGATGTGATTCTGAGATATAATTTACCATATAATAATTAACAAATTATAATCAATTTAACTTAAAGATATTCATATTAATTAAAATAAAATAATAATCTTTTATTTCTAAAGATTTTGAATGAACTAGAATATCTTTCAAATATATTATTTTCTTCCCCTAAAAATATTATTAATAGTGAATGAATCTTATATGTTTTGATTTAAAACATATAAAATTCAGGTGTAATTAAAATATTTTGGAATTTTATATTCATATTAATTGAAATATTATTCTATCGGCTTAAATTTTGCAGGTGTAAACCTACTTAATCAAACCATTGATTTTTGGGGGCATTCGCTCTCTTGGGGTGAATTAAGTATACGCTTCATCAATATTATGTCAAACAAATTCAATAAGCTTTAGGATTTTAATTGATATATTTGTGATTCAAAAATTATTTTTAAAAACTAAAATACGGTTTAAAATTTTTAATTGTATTTTAATATTTTTTATATTTGAAAATGTGTCTAATGTAAAATTTTAAAATTGTTATTATATTAAAAGCTTATAAAAAAAACTGTAAAAATGATTAAAAGCTAGTTTTTATTTTTTAGGATTGTATTCAAAAACTGTTTTTGAAAACAATGCATTTTCATAAAATTTGTTGTATCCCTTATTCTAAAAACAAAAACCCATATTTAGATTTTACATTATACGGGCCTAAAATATGACTTCAATTTCTAAAAATATAGATTGTGAATTCAAATTCAAGTGTCACTTTTTCATTTATTATATTTGAAAATTCTTGATTTAGAGACGGTTTCTCAAACTTTGGCGATGTATTTTTCATCAATAAATGTAATATGCTGAATTGAAACTAAATTTGAATATAAAGAAACGCTTCACCAATAACTTGTAAATAGAAATTGAAAAAATCCTGCATTTATATTGTTCTGTTTTCAAATATTTCTATTTATTTTCTGTTGTAATACTAGAATTTAGAAAAGAAAAAATAGACTAATAATCATGCTTAAAATAACTGTATAATATTTCATGAATATTAACATACTAATTGATTGCTATACCACCGATGAAATATTTTTTATGAACAACAACAAATTATAAAAACAGGTGTTAAATTGCAGCACAGAATAAACTTGTTCTAAATATTAAAGAAACATCAATTGCAAAACAGAAACAAAATTAAGAAAGATCTTACATAAACTTCCAAAGCAAAATAACTCCCAGTATTTGATATTAAAACAGAATGAAGATAACATCATGGGTACTTCCAACACATTGGCTAAATTCTATCATCTTCTTGGACAATCAACCATTCCTAAGCTGTTGTAGCTGTATCCAAAAATGCTTGTCCTGGTTGACGATTTGCCAACGGTCCATGACATCCAAGAAGCTGCAACAAAAAATATAACCTCAGAAACCAGCGCAGCCACCTCATGATTCATATTTACATTATGAATGCAGTACTTTTATCATTACAGAATCTTAAAAGATGAAACTTGCAAAGACAAACCTTAGCATTGACACCATCGGGCAAAATACGGTTATCTGATTTGTACTTCAAATAATCAGTGCGGTTGAACTTAGTAAAGCCCCTGAAATTGCACAAAAACAAATGTAGGTACAGTTACTAAAAACCAGTCTGCCAAAAAGTACCAAATGATTATCCGAGGTCATAAAGCAGGTTAGGCTTTAAAATGTCAGATACGAGGAAACATTATAATATTGTTCAACAGGGAAACTATCCTAGTATTAGCAAAATCTATAATTAAAACTAAGCCAAATTTGACCATAGGTACTACATAAATAACATCTAATAAGAAAACATCTACATACCACTTCCTGCTGACAATGATCTTTTGGCGACCAGGGAACTTAAACTTAGCACGACGGAGAGCCTCCTGAGCATGATGACTGTTGCTGTCCTTGCAACGAACAGACAGAAGGACTTGTCCAATAGCAACTCTAGCACAAGTGCCCTGGGGTTTGCCAAAAGCACCCCTCATACCAGTTTGGAGCCTATCAGCTCCAGCACATGAAAGCATCTTGTTGATACGCAAGACATGGAATGGGTGAACACGGACACGCAAATGGAAAGCATCCTTCCCAGCAAACTTCGCCATATATTTGTTGCAAGCAATTCGTGCAGCCTCAAGCGCTTCACTTGAGACATTTTCTTTCTCCCATGACACTAGATGAACACAGAAAGGGAATTCATCAACACCTTTCTTCTTCATTCCCACATCATAGATCCTGATCTTGGGATCAGGCACACCACGACAGTATCGTGATTTCGGGTACGGTTTGTTCTTGATCTGGCGGTAACACCTTGCAGGTCCTATGGAAACAATGTCAAAACATTATATCATTATAAAAACCACCAATAAAATTTGCAACTTACAGATTTCAACATTCTGCTAAACCGTGCATCAAATTCTACAAATCCCAAAGCTTTATCTTCAAAATTAAGATACAATCCATTTAAGATTTAAATTATATTCACTTAAAAGCAATAACAGAACAGAAATATATCTATAGAAAGGCCAATGATATTTCTCTACTTAATCAAGAATACTGTAAACAAGTTTTTAAGACTGATTTATTCATGGTTCTTAAAACTACAAATTACTAATCTTCCAAATTATTCCGAAATAAATAAAATACAATTAAAGCGGTCTAATAACATTTTTGAACACCCCTCAACCATTTTGAACCTATGAAAACCTACCATATCAATAGGAACTATAAATTTTATTCACTAATTGGTCAAGAATATTAAGCTAATATGCCCAAAAAACGAAAGGTTTTTATGACAGATTTATTCACTGTTATTATATATTACACATTAACGCATCAAAATTAGACCAAAACAAATAAAACCCAATATAAACTGTCTAATAAAACATGTAAATTCTGATAATTAGGCCTTTATTTGATTTTATTTTCGGGTTAGATAATAAATAAAGTCGTCATACTAAAATATAATACATATATAAATGATTTCTACAAAGCATTAAAAATTGAAACAAGAGTTTTAAATCTTAAGCTACACTAAATTAATGGCAGCAAATCAAATCTGGTATGAGAACACATAAAAACAAGCCTAATTACAATGAAAAAATAAAACCCAAAAAGCAAATAAATAGAAATATATGTCAATTAATTGTCAACAAGGATCCATTTCTAAAGTTTTCAAAGGTGGAAGAGGAAAGAGAACTTACTTCTCCCCATGGCGAAAGCGGCAGAATACAGAAACCCTAGAAAATGAAGGGGAAAAAAGAGTGGGTTTGGTATATATAGATGATTGAAAAACCCTAGACGTCTGCCCTTCCGTCATTTGTTTGATGACCCAACCCAATATGCTTCTAGATCTAAGCCCATAGATTAAGACTATGGATTGCTTGTTGGACCAGATCTCTAGTTCTTCGGCCTCTTATCTATTTATCGAAGAGATATAATTTTATTCATCCTTGTAGTTTCAGTTTCTCACATATTAGTCCATTCGTTTCAAATATTATAATTTTGGGCCTTCTGCTTTTAAATTATTACCATTTTAGGTTTTTTTTTTAACTTACTAAAAGCTTAGTTAAATATTAAATTTAACCCCTTCTTTTAAAGTCATTAAAATTTTACTAAACATTGGTATAAGAATAAATAAGTAAATATTACACATTATACATTACAAATCCAAATTAAGTGAACAAATTATACTTTAAAATTAAAAAAAACACATTATAATTTATTTATTGAAGGGTTTTTTTTAATGGGTTAGTATTGTGATTTCCCCTAAAACTTAGTATAATTTTATGCCGCCCGTAATTTTAGAATTATCGTTTACTTTCCCTAAACCTTAGGGTTTTTTAAGTTTTAGGTTGTTTAGCTTTTTATTTTTATAAATTTTTAGGTTCTTTACATTTTATTAATTATTTAGTTATTTTTTATATTTTTATTATAGTTTTTCCTCTTTTATCTGAAATATAGAAAATTTCTAACATATTTGATATGATAGACCGAAGAAGCAGATTGCTTGAGCTTTTGTCGAGCTCAAGCTGACCTTTTCTGTGTTGAGCTCAATACAGTAGCAATTGAGACGAGTTCGAACAGCTTCGGCTTGGCTCATTTACACACCTAGATAGACAATAATTTCCGGTACCTACGGGGTTTTCTTGAACTTGGACACCTCGAAGGGTTTTAAGTAATGATCCCCTAAATAAATAATGCTAACCTGGGCGATAGTCATTAAGTAATAACAAAAATAGTTATATATTTATGTAATATAATCACTTATCTATAAAAGTTATATAAAATTTTGATCCAAGATTGAAAGTCAATAGCTGATCTTTGAGTTTGACAATCAAAGATCGTATAGCTGATGAAATTGGTGGGTAGTCTTTATCTTTGTTTGAGTCTATTGCTTGGATTAAGGAAATTCCTCCTGCTATTATGTGTTTTTGTAACCAAAGATTTGGTTGTTTTGAGTTTGGTTTGATGGGTTTTTCCCACTTTCAGAAACAAATTTAAAAAAAAAAAAATGTAGAACTTTTTTAGAAACTAATTGAACTTTTCTATTTTACCCAAAACAAAGATTCAAAATTGCTGCATAATAACATTAAGTAAATATGAATGATATAATTCATCTTAAATATTTTTGCACTGTTATTACAACAACATCATAATACCACTGCCTACTCTACCTATTTTTACAAAACAAATCAAACTATGCAAAATCAGAAACCAAACAAGATAGAAATAACTGCAAGTGTATAAACTTTCTATGATCAAAGAAAGTATAACCAACCAATGCATTTTTATCTTGGTGTGATGGTAGGAATGACTCCACTAACAAGGTTGCTACCAGAGACATCCGATGAAACAAACGGGTTGTTCGGATGCAGGTGCTTTACCATAGAGGAAGAGGATGGAGGGGTTTCTTCTTCTTCTTTAGGTTCACTGCCTTTGGATTCTGCTATTTTGGTATCTGACTTTGGCATCATATGCCATATGTTTTCAAGTTCTCTCACAACCTCTGCCATCGAAGGCCTTGCATCTGTCTCGTCTTGGCAACATTTGAGGGCCAATGTCAGAAACTTATCGACACAGTCTGAAGGATAAGAACCCATTCTTCCATCAATGACTGAGAAGATCATTCCAGATTCATAAGAAATTTTAACCTGTTTTGGATGAAAACCATGTAATTATTACACAATGCATTCCGCATAAGATAAACACCTTTTTGTTGTAAGAACATAACCATCCGTGCTACGTATATCACGGATGATTCGTTACCTTCATTTAAAATGTAGATGCAACTATGGCAAAAGGTGTTAATGGAAATTGAAAAGGATTAAACTGGAATGTATTACATTAAAGATTAAACTTCAACCAAAATGGTGAAGTAAGTTCATACCTCTCGGACAATGTTTTTGCCATGTGAGATCGGGTGCATACCAGTCAAGAGTTCCAGGAATACCACGCCAAGACTATAAACATCACTCTTGTCTGTCAACTTATGAGTTAAGAAGTACTCCGGATCAAGATAACCCTGTAAAGAGTGGATAAACATTAAAACTATGGTTTGTGATAGCAAAACAAATTCCATAACATTCACATTGCCAGCACTTTCATTTATTAACTTCTCACAAGGCTTAATTGATTCATAACATATGCTTTCTGTTTTTCTATTTATCTATTTCAATATAGTATTTGTCATCCATTTTGATTCTCTGTCACCTTATTGCTTATCTTATCAAAGTAAACAAATCACATAACCTATCATTTCCCTAGATCTCTTTGGGTGCAAATTAATGAGTCAATCTGCTCAAGCCTCTTGCTGTAACTAAAAACTATGTGTATCTCACGACTAAAAACATACAAGAAGAACAACTATCTAACATCAAATCTCTTGTTCGGAAAAGTTCTACTGCTGCATCTTTCAACAGCTAGAACGATTCAGTTGCCAAAGAATTTTGACTGAGATTTTGGAAAAAAAAAATATTTATTACATTTCAATTTTTCAGAATTTATCATGTATCCGTGATAAAATGTCCAAACATTGACATGTCAGAACATAGAGAGGCTATGATGCTTCATAATTGTGTCCCAGCCTGAATAATCCTAAATCAAATTGCCGTTCTTCATTAAACATAAGTTAAATAAAGTTGAAGACTATTAATAATAAGTCTTACCGGAGTTCCCTTCACAACTGTGGATACATGAGCTGGTACAATCCCTTCAAGATCAGGAACTGGAGCAAGTCGTGAAAGTCCAAAATCAGCAACCTTGGCAGTGAACTTATTGTCCAATAGTATGTTGCTGGCTTTAATATCTCTGTGGAATACTGGAGGATCAGCTTCTGTATGTAGGTAGAGGATGCCCCTGGATGAACCCAGTGCAATCGACAGTCTTGATACAAAACCCAGCGGTTCTTTCGCCTTAGCTGCATACCATATGCATCAAACATTAATTAGAACTCATCATATATCGGCACATAAATTTGGAAAAAACATGCTTTTGTATGTCTCATTCAGCTCCAAAAATGAAAAGAATTGACAAGAAAAAATGTTTACAACTTTTCATGACAGTTTTAATTAGCATTAGTACATGGCATCAGCAAATAAAATGGAAGATTATAAATTAAATGTACCTGAAAGTTGATCCCTGAGAGTGCCATTTGACATAAACTCATACACCAACATCTGTTTACACAAAAGAAAAATATTATTAAGATCTTCCAAAATAATGGTTTTCAAAACACGTACAGCAAAAAGAAGAACTAGTCTTGGCACATCATGCCAAGTAAATTTCCGGGAAAATAGCACTTCTAGCAAAGAAGGAATGAAGGATCATAGTCACCCCAAGGTCACAATAAAAGGATAGAATTTTAAGTGTTTGTTGCATATACCAACCGAATTCTTATTGTGTAGCAAACCTTCTCTAGCTTCTACAATTCACATTGTTAACAACGGAATAGTATATATTCTTTTTTTTGGTGACTGAACGGAATAGTATAAATTCTTTCTGAATGAAGTTATATTTTCTTCAACCCTCCATTATTCAAGGTAATTATTATATGATTTTTAGATCTCAAAGCTTCTAGAATTATTTTAGTTCAGCCACATCAAATTCTTAAGTTGATGTCAATTGTTCCCTATATTGATCTATTTAGCACATTATTTGTTGTGGTTGCAGATAGGATAAAAGATTTGGTAGAAAACTCAAAAGTAGATAAAAATGGTGAGAGGATCTACCTGTTCACCTTCTTCATCACAATATCCAACCAAAGATACAAGGTTCCGGTGATGTAATCTTGACAAAAAGGATATTTCCGTTAAGAACTCCTTCTCACCCTGCAATGATCCCTCTTGTGCGCGTTTTATGGCGACAACTGTGCCATCAGCCAGAATACCTTTATAAACCTTACCGTACCCCCCTTCGCCAACTTGTGTGGAGGTGTTAAAATTGTTAGTTGCCAAGGCCATTTCTTCAAAAGTGAAACTTCTCACACCATCAATTTTGATGCTGATCTTGGATGCTGTAGGTACACAAAGGACAAATATCAGAATTATAACAATTAGACCAGCAGATTTCATGCCTTAGAAATTTTAAATACCTAACATACGGATCAATCTTTGTTTTCAGAATCCTAAGTTCCAAAATAAAATTCTAAGATACCAGTAATAAAAAGTCAATACATGTCAAATCAAGTTTTAACCAAAGTAAGATCGAATCTAATTTGATCACAGTAATAGTAGTAAAACATCATAGTGAATTCCAGAGCAAGGAAGTATTTAGAGAAAAAATTGAAATCAAAAAGTAGATATCCAAAGAGACATTAAACTTTGATTTGACAAGTAACAGTTGGAAGTTCAATCAAAGAAACTGGAAAACTATTATGTATCTGTTTTATACAAACTATTGAAGCATATGAGATACTCACGGTGGCGCTTTTTTGAAAGTGCACGGTAATCCTTCAAATGCACCCTGATGATAATAAGTGAAACAATTGCAGATAATGTAACAGCACCAGCAATAGCCCCCAGGATTATGCCAACCAGTGCACCCTTGCTTAATCCAGACTTGGTAGTGGTAGGAAACACTGTCGGTGCAATTAAATCAAATACCAATTTTAGCCATGAAACAATATTCATAAACTATGCAGATAAATGGAAACAGGTGAAATGCCTGCTCCACCGTTAATCTATGCATAGGTAATCATGATCAATAATGCAGATATAAATCAACATTTTTTAATAAAATAACTCTCAACATGGTCCCGGAAAAAAAATCATCTTGATCTATGCACAACAATTATTATTACATCTGGCCCATTATGAGCTATCGTACCTACAAATACAATAGTACTGACTACAGTATTTCCACAGAAAAGGCACAAAAGTCCCTGATTATAGAAGATTTTCGATAAGAGGGTAAATGTTGGCTACAAGCACATACATGCACACATTTAATTCAAGAGTTTACATAATGCACACAGGAAGGACGGTGCATTCTAATATCTATAATCTTGCATTTTGGGTAGAAAGGACTTTCCAGAGAAACACTAACAGCCACACAATGAAGCAAATAATCAGGTCAAATTTCAATTTACTAAAAGTTGCAGAGCCTTGAAGCCAAAATGTCCAGTATTGTGAACCATCCATGATGGAGTAACAAAAGTTAAAATGGAGGAAAACTGGAAGAAAAAACTCGAATGATTGCAAAACTAAAATAAATAAATATATATATTAAAAAAAAAAACAAAAAACAAAAAAAAAATGCTTCTTCCAGCTTGAGAAATTCAAGTGTATCAATAAATGGGCAATAATTCATAATTTAATAAAGCTCACACAATATAGCAGTTAAAGTTTAGAGACAAACCATGTTGGTAAGGGCCCAATAGATCAAACTCCAGAAGTTCATAGGGGCCAAATATGTCACTATCAGGAATTCCCCATCCAGTGAACATGCTTCTGATCCGTCGAACCTCACTATCATTAAAGACATTAGTATTTGTGTTATTAGCCTGATATACAGGAAAAAGCTTTAAGTACATTTTCAATCGAGGTCCTTTTTCCCATTCAAAATCATCAAGGTCCAGCTGATAAAGCTGCAATTCGAGACCAGAAGCCAGGTACTCCTCAAATGTTTTCTTATATGGTAGAAAATATGAAATTCCAGGACTTTTTAGCCGGTATCGAACAAGCAGAGGGGCAGCACAAAAACAACGAACAGGAGATGTTCGCGAATATTCATAAGGGACAGGACATGATTGAGGGGGACAGTCAAGAGTGGAGTTTGATCTCTGATTAATCTCAGTGTCACTTTGAGATCCACAAAACTGGACTGCATTGGAGTTTGAACATAAAGGGTTTCCTTTAAGCCTGTAGTTATAAAAGCAATAGTCTATTAGACTTTCAATACGTAAAGTTTAACAATGAGTTTCACATTTGTTATCATCATCTTTCTCACAGCAATATTAATTAATAGAATGATGTTGATATTATCCTCACTCATCTTTATACAGCAGTAACATGTATGTGAAATACATTTCATGTAGATCCACATTGCATTCAAATAGAGATAAATAGGAAGTGAAGGGAAAGGCTTACCAGACAGAGACATTCTGAGGGAGGGCAGAACTGTCTGAAATATTTGAAAGTTGATTGTTCTCAAAGTCACTGCAACACCAAAGGGATGCATAACACAATTTAGCAAAACAAATTCAAGATGTTAAAGTAATTATTGATTAGTATGCAGATAGTTGTTACTCCTTTGAGCCCATAGGAAATCAATATTTTTACTTAAAAAAACAAGCACATGATTCTCGACAGTATAATTCATTCTTGCATGCAACACACAAACACTTTTTAGCTAATGAAATTGGTAACATTGTCACTTCAGGTCTTACAAGATAAGTCTCTCAGTTGCATTTAGAGTTCTGCCCTGCCAAAGGGTCGCTGGGACGGAGCCATTCAATGAATTATTTGCTATCAACCTGCCATGAGCAATAACAATTAATAAAACTGATTTTTCTTGTAGCTCGATTTATTGGGATCCTTTTATATCATGATCAGTAATTCAGTGTTTAGGATTACATCAGAATAATAAGCATAATATTCGCTCGTCCTGACATAATCCAAAATACTATTCACAAACTATACAAGTGGATGAAATAGAAGGAAACAGTGAGTGGATGAATGCTTACAAATTCTGAAGAAGAGGAAGATCCGAGAAGGTAGAAGGGATAGGTCCAACAAGATTGTTATTGGATAAATTGCTGCACATATTGTTCAGATAATAAGTAAATGTAAGGAAATCAACATTATTGTAGTCTACAGGGTTTTCCGGTTATTGAAGACAGTTATAAGTTTTGATACCGAGAAACATAAAGATTGCATATTATTTGCAAGGCAGAGAATCTTACATAGTCGTGATATTTAAGGAAAGTCCATTTCCAGGTATAGATCCATTTAGCTGGTTTGAACTTAAGTCACTGACATTAAGTTAACATGAAATATAAAAACAAATACATATAAGCAAATTAGTTGCATATTTCTAATTTCTATGCTTCGCAATAAGGAAAAAGACTTAGGAATGAACACACAATTTATGAACTTACAGATAACCAAGACCTGGAATCGTGCTCAGATCAGGAATTGGCCCTTGCAAGCGGCAATTTCTCAGACTCCTAGTAAAACCAATCAAGAAAAATAAGTTTAAAAGAAAAAAGAAAAACTTGTAGTAATACAATTAAATGCATGCTTCCTTAATGTGATCCTGAAATAATTTAAGATTTCTGGGATACTGATGGGTCTGGGAAAGGTAGCTGATAACCTATAACTACAATCAGGATAGAGTAGATACTATGAAATGAGACATTAGATGACAAATGGACGAAAACCAACTATAGTAAAATATCTTTATTAGGGTTGCTAGCAGGATTTATGTCCCAAAGTTGCAGTACAATACAATACTTCCATTATATTTGGATATGAGACTTATATCTGCCAATAGATATTATAATAATGAAATGGAGACATTGCCATGTTTAAACCTACTTAGAATAAAGGGAAAGAAATTAGCATTTACAGTTTCAACAATTTAGACATATTGCTGTAGGAAGATGGAATAGTATTCCCTTCAAAGTTGTTGTTATCAAGTTGTCTGCAACGAGGGAAAAAGATAGATTTGTTAAAAGACACAACAAAAGATTGCCTCATATTTAAAATAAAATACTATCAAAACTTAGAGAACATCCAAATGACAGGTTTAAAAGAAAACAGAGTGTATAAACAATGAATGATGATAATTATGAAAAATCACAAAGCTAAATCTTCTTCTAGTTACATATTACCCATTCATGATGCACACACTTCTACATATTTCTAATATATCGGTTATTTCCTAACTACACCTAAATACTTTGTTCATTCTTTTGTGCCTAATGACAAAATCAGAACTAGACTTTTATAATTGCCATAGTTTTGCAGCGAATGTCTGCATCTCTTGTTGTCACATTTATGATTCCCTTATTAGTAGAGAAATGGCCCTGGTTAATTCGTCAAATTTCAGAAATTACTCCTCTTTCTAGCTTCTTGCATGCTGCTTTGAAGTATCACTTATTATCTGAAAATATCTGAAGGTTATAAGAAGCCCTCAAACTCCCCTATCCTAACAGTTGGTAGGGCTTCCACATAATCTAATTTGTCTGCTACACCGGTATGACTCTATTTCCAGCTAGAATTGCAATTTTGATTGGAGTAATGGCATAACTAAAATGTTAAACAATTGTCTAGTGCAGGAAATTCTGGAATATTTATGCTCAAGTATTCGTATGTTAAATTGTAATCTAGCTTATATTCTTCTAACAGAAATAGCACAGGTTAAATCACTACTGCAACAAATCTGAAAATCTATCAATAAATTATATTCAATTAACATTAATTTAAGAAGAAAAGGAAGAAACAGACAACAAATCCAAGAATTTGAAAAAAGATAAAAGATAAATTTTATTTTTGAAAACGTAAAAATATAATCATTTCTCCAGGGAACTCAGACACTTACATGATCAGTAAACTTGGCATTTGAGATAACTCTGGTGGAAGGTACCCTGATAAATTGTTGTTATCAAGAAGCCTGAAAGAAATCACTTTGTTAACCATGAATGGATAAAACACCACGGGAAATCGGAAAACTAGCATAAAAATAATTTGACGATTGTTGAAAATCTCATTCATAGTACAATTAAATCACAAAAAAATTCCAAAGAGTAACACAAAACTTACAAGTGAACAAGACTTGGCAATCTGGCCAATTCAGGTGGGATTTGGCCACTGATTGAATTGTTGTTCATGTGACTGGTCAAGAAGAGGTAAAGAAAAAGGAATGAGAACATCAAGATAAATATAAGGACAAAGTTAAGAAACTAACACTTGTTTTAAGCTAAAAGGCATCAGAAGCACCCTCACAAATGCTTTGTTTTGTTCAAGAACGCAAACGACTTAGGTAATGGTCCTGATATATGGTTCTGGTCAATTTGTATTCTGTTCAAGTTTGGAAGATAACCAAGCTCATCTGGCAAGGAACCTGTTAATTCATTTCCATTGAGGAGCCTGGAAACAAGAATATCACATATTAAGTAAGAAGCCAGGAAGATAAAGTGTCTGCAATTGTAACATCAAAATAAACGAACACTACATGAAATTAATCCAAGATAATAGAAATATCAAAGCCACATGCTCTTCAAAAACCAAAACAAAATTGAATCCATGAAAACAGGAATATATACATTTCTTGGTCTCAGCAAGTGCACAACAAAATACAGTAAAAACCAAGCCTGGCCATAAAAGAACACTAATGCATTAACTCACAATAGTTCCAGAGTTGTGATATTTCCTATCTCCTTTGGTATACTACCAGTTATGTTATTCCACATAAAATCCCTTCAAAAACACAAATAGAAGGAATTGTATTAGTAGTAGAAGTAAATAATATCCCATCAGTGGTGGAAATTAACAAATCTTTTAGAAAACTAAGCAAGTAAGAAATCAAAAAATTTATAGTATATAGAGATTTTCTTTAGCAAGTAAAATGCGTTGTGCCTCACAATATTGTCATCTTAGATAAGCGACCAAGCTGTGGCGATAAAGTTCCTGATAGATTCATATTCAGTAACTGCCTGAAAACACCACAGCAGCAACAAAATAAATATCACAAACCAAAATAATCAAATTCACTCGAAATAGCAAATTCACCAAGCAATACAAATAGCAAATTTACATTATCCCACAAATTTAAAGACCATATTGCTGATTTTTGCAATGAATTTTTTGCATTCTTTAAGATGTGCTGCCCAAAATTCATTGCCAAAATCAAGCCAATAGGTTAACAAATAGAATTTAGGAAAGGTTATAAGAAACCATACAATTCTATAACATGTAGATAGCCATCCTCCAATGTCCGATTGTAGCACAAAATGCCCGTCCAATTTGATGTACAGGGGTCACCTCTATCCCAATTACTCAAATTCTTATTAACATCAACTAAACTTTTCTTGATGGCCCGCAAAGCCGTCACTGCAAATTGATATCAACCAAGAAAACAAATATTTCATGAATTTCACTAGTTGTTTTGTTTCTAAAACTCTTGTATCTGAATTTCCATCATATTCAATCACACTAAAACTAATACCACCATTATCCTATTAGTCAAATTGAAATCTAACAGAACTTTTCTTCATTCAGATTTTAGCCTAGATTTTAGGATGGCATTGAAAACTGCTTTTTCTAAAACATTTCAACTCATTTAAACCCATAAAATTTCTTGTATCCTTCTTTCCTAAAACAGGCACTAAATTCTCTAACAAATTCTAAGTGTCCACATAATTAGTTAAAAAGAAATCTAAAGACACCATTTGAGCTGTAATTAACGAGTACAATTGATGGAGAAACTGATTCAAAATAAAGGAAATCACCTTCAACAGGGTCAGTTATGCGATCATCAGCTCCAAGAAGAAATGAAGACCAAGATAAGCATAAGAGCAAAACAGCAACATAATTCCAAGCTTTTGATGAACACATCCTCACTTTGAAAACCCACAAAAAGTGTTCCTGAAAGCAAGAAACAAGAAGCATAAACTTGCCATACTGAAACTCAAAAACAAAGCATATTTCATTTTATATCTTCAAAAAAACAAAAGAAGATTCAAAACCTTCAACCACTTGAAAACAACAGAATAAAGACAAGACAAGAGAATGCAAAGTAGTAAACCCAAGAGAAGTAATTACTTAGCATCAAAGAAGAAGAAATGAGAAAGTAAAATGTTGAGGATGAAAGTGAAGAAAAACAGAGTATTTGTTTAGTATATTTTGGACCAAGTCGGCATGACGAATGCTGCAGAGATAGATATTGTAAAAAAATGTCGTAAATTTTGACAAACCGGGTTTATGAAAATAAGGATGAAGAAGTTGGTTTACTGGTCTTAAATGGGTATGGCGTTCTTGACTTTGGGGGAGGGGAGGTTGATTGAGGGATATAAAGGTTTGAAATTGAAATTGAAAAAGCCAACCACCACCATGAATGTCAGCAACTTGAATAAAATAACGAGCAAAGGTTTATTATCAAATGATATGGACATTCCATTAGAAATCAATACCCACTTCCCAGCATGCGTTCAAATATGTTTTCATTTGGCAACTCGGAAATGTTCAACAAAAGCTGACTCAATCATGCATAAACTTTACAGGGGAATTATTGATCATAGAGATTACCGCAGAAAACACCCCTGGGATGTTTCGACCCTATTTAGCCCCTGTTGATTTCAGAGATACCCCTCTAACCCTCTTATATCAATCTTTTAATGAGGGTTATTGTCCCTCACCTGTCTTTAGGTGAGTGTTTATTTTTTTATTGACATCCTACAAGTTTACAACAGTATCCTTCACTTACTCTCAGATTTCAAAAATTCTCTCAAACGGTGAAGACAAAAGGATGCTATTTTAAACTTGTGGCTGTGGGGTGTCCTTAGGAAAAACAGAAACATCTGGGGAGGTGATGGATAATAAGCCATTTAATGATGGTTGACAAAAATTAAAAGGTTATATGATATTTAATATCAAGGGGGGCAATTATAAAGAACATTAAATTTGTTTTGTTATGTTTATAATGGGAATTGGTAAAGAAAAGTAACAAATGAAATGGACATTCCATTATAAGTCAATACCCACTTCCCATGTGCTCAAATGTTTGTATTTTCATTTGGCAACTTGGAAATGTTCTGCTTGGCTTCGAGTAGTTAGAGTCAAGTTCAATCATAGTATAACTCGACTCAAAAGGTTTATGAGTTTTTCTAAGCTCGAGGGTTAAGTAAATAGTTTTTAAAGAAATAGGGGTCATAAAAGTTTATAAATTGAAAATTTTGCAGATCCACCCCTATTCAAATAATGTAAAACAAGATTTGGGAATAAAAATTAAAATTCTTAAATCACAAATATATCTTCTCTCATTCTTCACTGTTTCTCTTTGAAAACCGAAATCGCAACTTGGAAACGTTCAACAAAAAGGGATTCAAATCATGTGTTAGATTTATTAAGGAATTATCAATCAAGAGTATATCTTAAAATCCTTTACAAAAATCTAATTTAGTACTAAATATTTGTTAAAGATAACGATATCATTATCAATGAAGAAATCAATCACACACAAATAATTTAGTGTAGAGCTGTGAGAGGTGGACGTGATGATTAGCCTATCATCATCATTCGCCAATTTTTCTAGTTTTATGTAATTATCAAATCATTTAATGATGGGTAAAATGGTCTAGTGGTAGATATGAATTATTTCCCGTGGGAATCCCCATTCCTATTCGAGCAACAATCACCTCGTCCTGGATTTTTTAATTCCAGGATAGGGTTGAGCTCCATTCTTGTTTGGAGATAGGGATTGAGATCCACACTTTACCTAATTGACATTTTTATTTTATTTGGCATTAACTTGGAACCACGAACGTCTAGCGCACCTTTTACTAAGATCAATGTGGTCGTATGTTCAACAAAAAATTATGGGGTTTAGAGAAAAAAAAGAATTCAAGAAGTCTCTTTGAAGGCCAAAGATCAAGTTCAACAAATATGGGGGACCAAGAAAAAGCAAAATTTTTTAGGGATAAAAGTAACATATTTTTATATAGTCTCTACAAATTTTTGTGGGTCTTGGATGGCCACAGCCTCCCCCCTGGTTGCGACTTTGTAAAATGATCAAAATAGACATAATATTTAAACATTTGTATCTTTTTCAATGAATTCATATTAGTTTCCCTTAATAATATTATTTACCCACTACAAAGATTTGTCTTACTTTTAAAATATTTGTACGTGGAGTAAATATGTGAATGAATAAAATATTCTGATTTTCAAGGATCTTCACCATGAATTTATAAATTCCTTTTGGAAGAATTCTAAAATCATTAGGCTTTGAATTGTGTGACCAAGTCTTGCTAAGGTCATCCAAAGCCAAATCCACCACTTGAAGGGAAAGCAAGTAATAGGGTTTTCTATTAATTAAGTAGAAGAAATGTTCAGTTAACCTCATTTAATGCGTGTCTTAATAAGCTATTGAATCAAAATTGAATTACTTTTTCTTCCTTCATAATCAATTTACTATTTCAACATCTCTTGCCTCGACTTTGATAAATGTAAGACTTAAATTAATATAAACAATGAAGACTTTTTATCGGCAAGAGGGTTTTTAAAAGGACAAGTGGACAAATTATAATAATTGACGAAATTGTTGGTTATAATGACAAGCAAGGAAAATGCACTGAGAAATGGAAGACTTGGTAATGAGAACAAGTGAAATGACTGAGTCTTTTAGTTGGCATTTATGAACGAAGTTGTCTTTGCTACTTATTTTGGGAGTTAACGACTTTTTCCCACCCAAATAATGACCTAATAACAATTTTCCACCCACAGATATTTACAATACTATTTTACTACTCAAATTTATATTCCGACTGTAAATAAATAGCAATTTTGGTCCAAGCTGTTAGGGCTTTTGAAGAGGAGAAACTGATGAGGTTTTTGGTGGTAAGAGGTTGGATTTTGGTGGTTGGGATTGATCGAAATTTGACTTGGGAATGACAGTTGTGCAAACCCTAATGGCTCAATTGCTGATGATTAGTAGGGTTGGGGGAATAGGGTTTGAGAGATTTTGGTGAGTGATGATTAGGAAGAGAATGGTGGGAGTGTGAAGTTGCAACAATGCCAGAATCGGAAAGGGAATATAAATTTGGACAGTAAAGTAGTATTAAAAGTATGTGGGTGGAAAAGTGTTATTAAGCCATTATTTGGGTGGGAAAAAGTCGTTTACTCTTATTTTAGGGTTGAGAGGCAGGGGCATACAAACTATTTAATATCAAAATGAGGTGGAGACTTTTACTTCTTTTAACCACATTTTCATATCTCTCTCTCATTTGACATTTTTTTTTTTTTTTTCTATTTTGTGTCATTTTGCCCTTCTTTTATACAGTAAAACCTCTCTATAGTCATAATGGTAGGATGAACTAATTTTATTACTATGAGGGGGTTATAACTTAATAGAAGTTTAGTTATAAAAATTATTGTTTTCATTTCTTATTTTATAATTCATGTTTTAGTACTACAATATTGGGATTTCAATTCATGTTTTAGTAGTATTAGGATTTCAATTCAACTCTTTAATTATCTACTTTTGAAACGGATAGAAGATTGTGTCTTGGAACTAGCAAAAATAAGTGTCATAGAACTATAAATGCAGTTGATGCATGGTCAATTGATGTGAAACCACAAACAATTGTCAATGGTTTTAAGCACTCAAAAGTAGGACATCTGATGTCGAAGAATTGTGAGTTACAAATGAAGTTGATGAAGAGAATAAAAGAGTCATTGCAAAATTGAGTAATCAGATTCGACAACTTCATTGCACTAATTGAATAAATATTAATGTCTTCCTCAATCATCTAAATGAGCAACAAATCATGTATGTTTTAATTAAAGAAGAAATCATTGCTACAATTTAATAAGAAGAGAAATGAAATAATCTTGAGGATGATAGTATGAAAATACAAAAAGTTTTGTGCTATGAAGCTCTAAACATGCTTGAGAAACTAAATATATTTTGGCTTCAATAAGAAGGTGTTCATGCTAGCGAGTTACTACGTACTCACAAATTAAAAGATGTGGTAACAACTCTAAAGTATAAATCATTATCTCAAACAACTTTAAATCAATATTTTATTTCATCTTAAACCTTTAATACAATATAAAATATATATTTTTGTAATATACTGATAATTATTACTATATAGAGGCGACTTTCCTTAAGGTATGAATTAAAAAAATTATAACTTATTACAATGTGGAGTTTATTCTTATTTATAACTATCCCAAATTGAGACTATAATTTTTTATGATTATGTAGAGTTTATTCATATATAGAGTATCACTATAGAGAGGTTTTACTGTATTCTCTTAAAGGGCTATTATCAATTTAATCACAATGTTTTCATAAAATGATAAAAACAAAAAAAAAAAAAAAAAGTTTCAAATCCTTCCAAAAAATAAAAAGAAGATAAATTAACCACAATTTACGATTACTTTAATAGAAAAAAAAGATTCAAAAACTAAAATACGATTCAAATTTTTGAGTTGTATTTTAAAAGTTTTAATATTTGAAAATGTGTGTGATAGAAAATTTAAAAATTGTTTTTAGATTAAAAGCCTTAGGAAATTGTAAAAACTACTTTTAATTGTTTTTCTATTTTTACACTATTTTTAGGATTGTATTCGTAAACTGTTTTTGAAGAACATTCCACTTATTTTTACAAAATGCATTTTCATAACATTTTTCATACTTGTTTAAAAAAAAAAAAAAAGTATTTAAATTCTACATCAAACGGGACCCTAATTACCCCAAATATTGCAATATATATTATGCAAATTTAGTTTTTAAATGATAAATCTTAAAAATAAAAACATAAAAAATAAAAAATCAATTATTTTACCATAATATCCTTGATCTATTAAAATAAATGTTGATTGGGGTTTTATGTTATTTCTGATAAATAAAGGTGAAAATTTTATTTGAGGAAATCTTGATGGGGAAATTTAAACCCTTATTTAAATTAAAAAATATGTATAAAAGTGTATGATAAAATTTAAACGTAATTTAAGCATTATAAGATTACCAAAACTTAGAACTAAATGAAAAGTGATTTGAGCGATTCTATATTTATATAATAAATATCTAAATTTTTATATCTTGAATCAAATGATAAATAATTTAACATGAATTATATTAATTTAATATTATCTTATTATTTATCTAATAGTGTTAACAAAACAATTATCATATGATATGACTTATCAAATTAAGTGCTAGACCCTTAAAGAATGTCGTAGGCATGGGCAGGCTGGTGGC